TGAACGTTGGCAACCGACTTCCGATTGGAATAGCTGGTAAAACTGGGGACAACGAGTTTCGAGAGCGAAATTAGTGTGGAACAATTACGGAAACTAAAATGGCACGATCTTATTTTTAGGTTAGCCGCGTATTGGACCATAATTACATAACCAGTCGCAGTTTCTACAAGGTTCGCCAATCGGAACGTCCCTCGGCCATGGAAGATGATCGATCTATCGCCATGTTCGGCGCTTGATTGGCCTCTGAGTGTTACTAATCACTGGCCAAATAACAAATGGTCCCATCGTCGTACTCGATGGATTGTCTTTGTGAATTCTAGCTGATATCGCATTTGGACATAAGCCAACCACCTATTTTCGATCTTAAGAAAAATGCGTACCTTGAACGTTTCCAATAAGAGCATTGTGTATGCGTCAGAAAACTGGGTGATCGTTTGTTCAACAAACGATCTTGTGTGTGTAGGTATGTGCCATTAATGATATCAATTAGGTAAATTGTTTTGGATGTAAATTCATTTTTAATTAATCGATTCTTTATTTAAATAAGAATATGCAATTGCAAAGAATAATTGGAAATATCATTCAGTGCGGAATAACGAGGATAATAATGAGAATTCAAGGTTAATTTTATTTCACAGAATTCTTCAACATTAATTTTTAAATGAAACGTCTTACTCTTGAGAACCTGCCGGCTATAAGATCTTGAGCTCCTTCGACGTTACTCTATTTGAGGTCATTGAATTCCTTCTTACATTATATTTAAAAAAAGAAATATCTCGAACCCGATTTTGAATACATCTTAAAAAGAAGAAATATAAATACCATTAGTATCTCATAACAAGTAAGAACCATTTCCTCTCTCGCTATTTTACAAAATAATTTAATACATCATTTCAAAATACATTCATTCAGGTACTCTTTGCGCATTTCTCAAGATATAAATCCATATAATTATACCAAGTGCAAAAATCTACACGAAGTAAATACTCGAAAGAAGATTCAATGCACATCCAAAATGGCGGCGATGATGTCCTGGTCCTGTTAGATCCACTGGAAGAATCACGGTTCTCTGTGATTTCCCTCAAAATCGACTATTCGTAACAGTGAATCAATTACCGAAATTAAGGCGTCTAGTGGTCAAATTCGAAGGTTAAATGGAAAAAATTACAGCGACAAGCGACGACCGGGAGAAGGCTGTGCAGCAACCGCCGGGACCACTGGCTTCCGGCCAGAGTTTTCCCTCGTTCAATGTCTCGCCGCCAGGTAGCGACGCCTACGGACTATTTAAAGGAATTTCGGCGAGGTTCGTCGCTTCGTTTCGTTGAGCAGCGCAGGCGTTGCCCTTTGAATGTTTGTTTGTTTTCGTCCTCGACACCCTTCATGTAAAGAGGAAACCGGAGAAGGAGTGGATACCGCGCGTTCTCACTTTACGATGTTCAGGGAGGAGTAGCGGTAACACGGGGTCGTCGTATTAACGGAACAAGAGAGAAAGAGAAAAAGAGAGAGGAAGAGAAGCCTCGTTAAAGTTTGACGAAGTGTGACACACTTATTGTTTTCTGTTTTCTTTTTTTTTTCCTTTCCATTGTTCGATCCGCCACACATTCGCGCGTGGCCGATCGTAGAATCGCAAAGTGCAAGCAGGACCCAGTCCGCGCTGGTGCTGGTCCGGTTTTATACGATTACGAGAAGAAGAATTGGAAGAATTCGGTAAAGAAAGAAGAGGAAGAAGGATAATCGAGAAGAAGCATTGGTAAGTCTCTGCTTGCCGCGCGAGCAACATCATCAGGTGAACACAGGATGTTTCTGATACCAATATAGTGTTTTTGTGACCAACGATAACTACATGTATACATACAGTGTGAAACGAGATTAATGGGAGCTGTAGAAAGTGTTGTGTGACCGATAAAGCTAAAAAGGACTAGCCGAAATCGAAAACCGTGAAACGTTTTATTGTGGATCTTTTTGATGGACAGATCAATGGAGAGATCTAAAGTCTGGTTCTTGAAAGAGAATAGCCTAGTGTGTTGATCGAATTTCAACAACTTTTGTTCGGTGTACAGTGATCGATGAGTAATAAAAATTGGAGAGATCTTCGATGAAATTGGAAATTTAAGGAACTTGAAGTAATTACGAAATTGTGTACAATTAGATGAAATCGTATGTAATTACGATACGAAGATTTAGATTCGTATAGGAAATTTAATAAGTTAGTAATCGTGGATTATATATCGTATAAGAAGGATAAATTTAGTAACATTTTCTGTGCACGTGAAGATATCGAAAATTATGAAAGATCGTACGTCACGATCTATGATCAATTTCACGTTGTCAAAAGTATTTAGTGATATATATTGAATCAACGTCCAGCAAATATTGGTTACTTCAAAGTGTATCCATGTAGTCTAAGTAGCCAGCCAAACTAACACAATGTATATTGCCTCATTGGACGTGTCGATGTGAACCTCACGTTACATACAAACACGACCTCTACTTGTTTGCCAACAAACGTACTGCATTTCCTATCTTTATAGCACATCCACCATTGCATCTCATCTTCAAATAGAAACTGTTCCGCCACGCCGCCAACCATCCCGAATATTATATCATCGCCAATCTATTACCTAACGATCATCAACATTTAGACTAATTTTTATTCAAATGTTTCATTCTCCATCCTTGTACAAGCTTCTTTTAATCACAGCAAAAGCAAACGAAACTAATTAAGAAACTTCATTTTTATCATTAAATATTTCCCAAATTTATTAAAATTACACGATTCAAAAAAGTCAGAATATTCTCTTCTCTAAACCACAATTATCGAACAAAATTAACTATCTTCTAATTAGTGGAATAAAGATAGGAGTAGCTCGAGAGATAGTGATGAACATTGGCAAAGAGTGTGGCTGGTGGCCATCTCTGCCAAAATAATTAGGAAGTCGTCGTCAGAGACGTGCTAAAATGGTCCGCTGGGGCACGCGCGATTTGGCCGGCTAGTCGCGTCCCGGGCGTTCGAGCGAGCTGGTCGCCCGGTCTGTCGTTCCCAAGTGTTTCGCCAGTTCCATGCGACCAATTGACCAGCCTTAATCGTTTCGTCTGTCCACCTTGTCTGTTCATTCTGGCGCGCGATTTTCTTCGAAGTTTTCATCCGCGACTTTCAATTATGATCGATATTCGTTCAGGTTCCTCATTGCCACGAGATAATCACGCGTATTAACGTCGAAAGGGGGTTAGTTGGCAGGATTTTTCGAATATTTCTGTGTATTTGAATATTTTTTTCAT